TGTGTTTTTCTCTCTCTCTCTTTTGTTGTTTTACTTTGCAATACAATTTATTATTATTATTCTATTATTATTATTATTATTATTATTATATTATTTCAAGTATTAAACTGTTCTTAACCCACGAGTTTTCTTACTTTTGCTCTTCCGATTCTCTCCCCCCTCCCACTGCTGGTGGGGAGGGTGAGCGAGCGGCTGTGCGGTGCTCAGTTGCCGACTGGAGTCAACTGTGTACAGTTGCATACTGCATGCAGAAACAAAACCAGTCTTCCAAGTCTCATAGATACTAAGTTCCATCTTTCAAAACTTGTTCAAACTGAGCTCAGCTTTCAATTACTGAACAAATTTTGTCAGAAGGAGAAGTTGCAACTTGGACTTCCCTTCAGAATTAATCAGGTATAACTGCTTTGTTATTTAGTTTGATAATTTCTTAGGACAAAACACTTTTGAAATAGCTAATCTTTTACGGAGCAGTCGTGTTGGCATGAAATTCGAAGAACAGCATCTGGCTTCATCATTTTGTTTACCAAAGAAAATTGTCAGAAAAGGGAGCAAGATCACTGCAGACGTAGGCACTGGTGACGTGTCCTTTGGATGGCAGGGGACAGGATGGTCTCCTGTCACACGCAGACCCAGCGTAGGCTGATTGTGGTTAACTGTTAAGGTACTGTGGGATTTACTTCTTACAGGAGGTTCAAGCTTAAGTGGTTGCATATTCCTGGGCTCTTTTGATTTTCCTTGTTAATACTAAAATACATTGTTCTAACAGAAAATCTTACTTATATTAAAACAAACCTGTTGATTTTGATGAAAAAACCTTGCAAAAATACCAGCTGTGCATACATGTAGAAGAGCTAGATGTTAACTGACATTTACACTGCGGGAGCATCCAGCAGGGTAGCTTAGCTGGGGGACCTGGTGTGATAGACGCTGTACGTGAAAACTGTGTGCTTTACCCAAGTAATTTTCAAATTAAAAACTGATTTATGAGAAGCTCTTCTGTCTGACACCACTTACTTTAATGGCTTTCAGATGTGGCATTGGCAGCAGTTCTGGTTCCAGTGCTGGTGATGGTCTTCACTACTCTGATTCTTATCTTAGTTTGTGCGTGGCATTGGAGAAACCGGTAAATGAATAGATTAATGAAAGTGCTTTAAATGAATGTTAGCCTGACGTGTGGGAATGAAATAAATGCTGCATGTATCGCTACGGGAACTACGTGGTCCACACTCGTGGAAGGATTTTTTTTCAGAATTGTATTCTCTGTGAGAAAATGTTCACTTGAATAGCGAGGACAGTCAAAACAGCTTTTTGTAACTATTTTCATTAGAAGTGCTTTTACTGAAAACTGGTTTCTCCAGTAGCAGCAGACTGGTGATGGCAAGCCAGGTTACTGGTGCTTAGACATTAAATTTGAGGACCAGTTACAGCCAAGGTGATAGTTGCTGAGCAGTAATGAATGCATCTTCTGATAAGCAGACTAGCTAAAATACCCCCTTTTTCTTTTTTTTCACAGCAAGAAAAAAACCGAGGGCACTTACGATCTACCTTACTGGGATCGTGCAGGTAACAAAATGGTTTTATGAAATCCGTTACTTGGCATTTTTGGTTTGATGCGTATTTCAGATTGCAGTAACACAGACAGTTTCCACTAGCGGAAGCTTCTCTAATGCTAATTAACTGATGTAGGCACAGCGAACACTGAATTTCTTTTCTGGACAGACTTAACTGCTTCATTCTCTGAATTTTTTTCAGAAATAGAAAATGCCTTGTCTGCTGTTAGAGCTTACAGCTTCAGATTTTTTTTAGTAAACAAAGTATAGAACCTCTTACTTATACAACATGAGGGGAAAAATCGTTCATGAGGAACATCTCTATACGTTTGATAGTCATGTATTTGGTACTTTTTTTGTCCTGGAAAAAATCTTTCATCTTAGTGTATAAGGTCTGTCAAGTTTTGTCTGTCTTCATTGCCCTAGTAAGCATGTAGGATTGTTTGCAGCCCCTTTTAGGCATATTTTCCATCCCACTGTCTTAACTTGGGATGTTAACTTGGGGTCAGACAACCCTGTTAACTTGGGGTCAGACAATTCCACAAAGCAGCACTTAGCAAGTGTCCTGAAAATGCTTGTGCTACAGCATAAAGGGCTGCTGCAGCAGTTGGGTTTGTACTGTCTGTATGACCGTGCTTCACTTCTCTGTCCTCATGTCGAAAATTTCCACATCTGTGTGTTTGCTCACTGGCAGTTTTAAATATGCCTTATCCTTTAGACAAGGAAACTTTTAATGGCCTTATTTTTATTTATTACATGTCCGTTTCTGATAGGTCACAGCATTGTTGTCTTAGGATATTAGACTCAAAATATCCTGTATTTAAACGTCAATGATGGACGTGCCAGGTTTTTTTCCTGTTTGCTTAAATTTAAATGTTCAGTGTGCAGGTCTGTTTTAAAAGGACATTTGGCGAAATGCAGTAACAAAATAATGGTGCTACGCTTCTCTGTGGAACCTCTCTCTGTCCCTTCCCACAGGCTACCTCAAATTTTGTTAAACGGTGTTCTGTGGTTTTGAATCTCCTGTTGTGTGGGCTTTACCTCCAGGATGGTCTCTTGCAGCTGGAATGAAATACGTTAATGGACAGCAAAACTAGAATGGCTCTGGCTACTGGGGGAAGGGTTGGGGAACCTAACAAAACCAACCCTCCCTACACCTTCTCTCAAGAAAACGTTTGTGACCGCAGTCACTCCTTGTCGTTTCCACCAAAGTTAAAATCCTCTTCATTCAGGTTTTTGCAAATATTCACTGATCAGCCTTTTTCGACAATGTGAGTTAGAAACATGACATTAACAGCCAGAAACCACATTAAATAGATGTACTCTTAAGTTATAACTGAGATGATTGTCTGAAATTTTGTGTAAACATTTGATTTATAAATTGGAATCATGGCTGACTTTTTAGTATTTTCCGTGTTGTATTTTATGAGTTTATTAATGTGGTGAGTGGCCCCAGCACTGCTGCTAACGGACATGCAGGGAGAGATTCCCTAGACTGCAGCAGTTCTGCAGGTGTTTGAAGGGGGAGCATTCAGGCAAGTTGATTGGGTGAGAGTAATGTTTTCACCTCCGAGTCTTCAGTCTGCCAGAAAATATTAAAATATCTTGTAACCTTAGGGTCATGCAAATACCTGCTACTACAAAGTATAAGTTGTGGTGTAAAAATATTCTAGTAGCTTAAAACACAGTACATATGCAGTCTTAGGTGGTTGGTTGTTGTTTTTTTTTAAATCCATTTGAAGGATGGTGGAAAGGAATGAAGCAGTTTCTCCCGACCAAATCAGCAGAACATGAAGAAACTCCCGTACGTTACAGCAGCAGTGAAATTAGTCACCTAAGACCAAGAGAAGTCCCAACAATGCTGCAAACAGAGTCTGCAGGTACATTTTACTGTTTTTGTGGGCTATGTAATACCTATATCTAAACCTATACCTATATGAAATGCCAAAAAATGTCAGGAATTTGGCTACTTTTAATTATTTCCTGTTTGTTTTGGGGAACAGAGGAGAAACGAATAGTTCTGTTGGTAAGTGCGTTTCTTAAAATGCAAGCTTTTTCAGATCTGTTCTCGGCCTGTTGTAAAAGTATGTATTAATTGACTAGATGTGCTGTGGATAGACACTTTCCCAAGTTAAGTTAATGCAGTAACTGAAAGTTTCTTTACTTGTACTTGTTCTTAAACCCCATAAAGGGTTGAAGGACGTTTTTAGCCATGTTTTCATGCACTGGAAATAATTTCACCCCATTACCTTTCTGCACAAATCTGCAATGTGGCACTTGGTTCCCTATGCTGACTGTATGGATTAAATCACTCTTTTGGTCTAGAAAAGGAGGAGTTACTGATAATGGCATATGCCCTTTACTTGAGGAACCCGTCATTAGAGGAAGATGACTGACTGTGCCTTTGGTTCTGTGCTTATCTGCTGATGGCAGAAATACACAGACGTGCAGGAATTACAGCTTCACAGCAGGCAGAATTACTTTTCTCTTTTTTGGCTGCTTGTCTGTTTCTGCCCAGCTAGCCACCTTTCTCACCTCCAGCTTTTGTAACTCAGATTATCTGTTGAACTAAAACATCTCAGCTGACCACATGCAGGCTTCCCCCCTCAGAGGACAAACCCTCTGCCCCAAGGACCACTTTTTATCCAAAGCCAAGCAGGATAATTTCATTTAATTCTGATTTTGCAGGGAGGCATGCTTCAAAAAACTTTGTTTTGAGGCAGATTTACAGCATGGGAAATTGCAGCTCACAAGGGAAGAAGTATAAACCTGGGAAGTCAGGGTGTTGTAGCTATCCCAATGGCTTCAACTATTGGGTGGAAATGCTCTTTTTTTCCAAAGCAATTGGCGCTGGCAGACAGAGACGGACCACTGGTTTGATCTAGGATAAGAATTTCTGTGACACTATTGACAGGTTGGATTTAATGTGATGCCACTGCAAAAAAAAGATTTCCATTAAGTGTGTTTTTATTTTGTTTTGTTGGGGCTTGCGATACAGAGTATGCTCAGCCACTGGTAGGGGGAATTGTCGGCACGCTTCATCAGAGATCAACCTTTAAACCAGAGGAAGGGAAAGAAGCAAGTTACGCCGATTTGGACCCTTACAATTCACCTATACAAGAAGTTTACCATGCTTATGCTGAACCACTACCTATAACTGGACCAGAATATGCAACTCCAATAATCATGGACATGTCCAGCCATCCCAGCACGCCTCTTGGCGTTCCTTCCGTTTCCACTTTCAAAGCTGCTGCAGGGAATCAAGCTCCTCCACTGGTTGGAACTTACAATAAACTCTTATCTAGGACAGACAGCACATCATCAGCACAGGCGCTGTACGATACACCAAAGGGGCAACCGGGGCCAGGTGCCGCAGACGAATTGGTGTACCAGGTACCACAGAGCGTGGCCCATTCCACTGGGAGTAAGGATGAACTAAGTTAGCTCACGAGTAAGGTAGAATGATGGCTTGTTTCTAAAAGCCAGTTCCATAAAGCCGACGGTTTCATTTTTTAATCGCATTGTTTTGGTATTGTTAGTCTTAAATAATACGATGTTAAACCAAAAGATGTGGTATTTGGAGGTCTGAGAAACCAGTAATTCTGCCTTTCCTTAAGCTGTATATATAATTACAGCTTGTTTCCTGCAAAACCGTGGACTTTTTTATTACTACTGTACAATTGTCTGTCAGACATGAGAGAAGAACTCTTCAAGATTAGCTTCAGCAATTCATAGATGTGAATGATAAGTTGGGAGAAACAGTGTAAAGTATGAAAGCCAGTAATTTCTTGCTAATGGTACTATTTCGGGGGGGGGACCCCCAAAACCCAAAGCTCCTAACTTTCTAAGATCTATATGTAAGCACTATAGGCTTCTAAAAATCATTTTACCCTCTTAAAATGGCTGCACAACATTGGACTTTAAAAACTACTATCAATCAGGACTGATGGCAAAAATCCTATTAACTTCATGGCATAAAATAGCTTTGATTCTAAATTACGTTATTTTAGCTTTTATTCACAGTATTGGGAATCATCAGCTGTGTGTTCCTCAGAAGTTTCCCACCATTTTTGTTAGCCTTCCAAAACTAGAATCTGCTGTCTGCCTCATCTCCTTAAGCTGCTCAGTCTCGTTCCTTCCTAGGGATCCAGGAGGCACAGACTAAGTCATACAAGCAAACTACGTGGCAACTGCTTTTACATTTTTCCCTACTAAGTGAAGGCTACTCTGAATAGCGTCTGCCTCGAATTCAGACTTCCCTGATGGTCAATGTGCAAGAAGCATCCAGGTGTTCGAGGTGCCTGCATTCAGAAAGGTTCGCCCTGTCCCCTTGCCCTGCCCACCCCTCTCCCCCCGAGTATCTGTTGTTGTGTGTTAAGATGTGAGCTTATACAAAGAAAGATATGTATATACTTTTGTGAGTGCTTAAGGAAGCACACAAATATTCTAATGGTGCACAGTTTGTGTTATACACGCATTTAGCACATACGGTACGTTTTAGCACAACTGAAAAACTTTGGCCTTAGGGCTTTTCTTGTGATTGTTCTTATTAGAAGTACAAAAGATTTCAAAACCTTTGCAAGAGAACCAGTACTGTTCCAAAGAGCGTCCATTTCAGAAGCATTTAATTGAATTTGTATCCTTTGAATGTTCCAGTGTTCTCTGCTATGAAAACATTGCAGTCAGTCTTCTATTTGAGATAACACAGACTAGGTTTAGCTAGGTAATCACGAAATGAAAACAATTTGGATGTCGTATTTGCCATTTTTTATCTTGTTAGAAACAAAGCACAGCTTTTTAACCTAAGTAGTAGAAAAAACCCATAATAAAAATGCTTTATTTTTATTGTAACAGCACTGTTGGGAGGATGCTGAATTAATTTATACATGTGAAACCGCCTACCTACACATTAGTCAGTTTTTTTATGGACTTCAGTAGTCACTGTTTGTTTCTGTGATGTAACTCAAGTCAGCCTTGTTTATTGCCCAGGGTCCTTAAACTAGGTGGAGAACATGCAAATCGAAACTAAAATACCGTTCAAGAGGGCTGCCACCATGTCTTTATACCAGTACGGTATCCTAACTAACTTATCACTTGAAAATTTATTTGCACAGGGGCTATATATAAACTCGGTAGTCCAGAATGACTTGTGGCCTGTTCAACATCTAGAATATGTTATTACATACTCTGTGCTACCTTAAAGCCCAATTCATTCTAATTCATTGAGAGTGATAATTATTTTCTAGAATTGGGTGTCTAAGCCTAAATGTGAATGTAAGTAAGGGTGGTATACAGGATCCATTCATGAAAAAGAAATTCCTGCCTATAGTTGTATTTTTGATGTCATGCAACTTTTTCTGCTTGATAAAGCTCATCTGCAATCTTTGTAGTTTTGCTTAAACAGGTAAGTAAGTGTTCTTACCCATCAGCAGCAACTACGACTTTAAAATTATCGGAGCTGATTTAATTTGAAAGGGGTGGGAGGTTATTTGTTTGCACCAAGATGTGACATTTATTCCAGCCAAGTTAAGAAACCTCTGCATTCTCAAACTGTACCAGTTTAGGCTGAGAAAAATTAATCTACCATAAAAATAAATGGATGTGTTCAAGTCAGTAAAATTAACACTCTTGGATTTAATTTTTACTGTAGGTGAAGATGGTGTACGATTTAATTAAACAGTTTCTCTACAGTGGGTTAGTTTTTAAGCAACTGTAATGCAGTTTCACTTTCTGAGCAGCATGAGCTGTTGACCAGAATGGTTCCTTTCAAGAACTTAAGTCCCTTTTCTGAAAGAAATTGGTCCCAAGCTTTGCTCCTTGCTTACAACTCTGAACATATTATCTGCTAGGGCTAAGAAGATAAGTTTGAATATATAACAGTTGGGTTTAGAATGTATGGTACAAACTGTTAAACATTGATTCCCAAATGTAAGTTGCGTGACACACTTAAGATTAGCATTCTCCTGTGTACAATACAAGCAGAGGTACATTTAATGGGTCTCGTCTACATGTGAAGACATACAGATATAAAATGTATTTCAGTCTTTTGTTTGGCTTGAGTATTCTCCCAGAATGTATGTTCTTACCTCAGCATGTATTGTAGTTGCTCGGTATTTGTATATGTTGCTAGAACTTAGACTGTATAAATAGTGAGGGGTTTTTATATGTATGTTAAAAAGTATTTTAAATAAATTGTACATACGTATTACTCAGTATGTTTGTATTTAACACCTACTTTATATCTAATTCATTTGTAGTTTGGAAATGCAAGGGTTATTTATCAGTTACCATACTACCACGGGGGTTATGCCCTGTCTCCAAGAGTGACATGATACCGTTTCCTGGTGGTAGGTGTATGTAGCAACCACCCACAGTGGAGGGGTTGGTCCCTGCCCCACCTCACCAAGCCTTAGAAGTCATAAACTGACACTTACCAGAGCAATCCTCGTGGCTGGAACAAGTGGTATTTACAGGAGGGAGCTTCCCTGGAGTTACCTGCTGGCAGAATGCCGGCTCTGGAGTCCTGTGTGATGAGGGGCTAAGGCACAGCACAGGCAGCTGCCCTGTGTTGGTGTCATGAGAAAGTCAGACTCTGGTCCAGTATAACCCATTGCTTAGATGCAGAGACAATCCCCCCCGCCAGTCAGCACACCACCTCTAATAGTGGTAGAGAGGGGCTGCTGGTTCATTCTTAAACTAGACCATGGCTATTTTCCAACTACTGAGAAAAAGCTGCTTTTGCTTTCAAAGCTTTCCCCTTCTTTATCTTAATTCTAGCACTGCAGTTCCTAAAATAAGAAGTCATAACTACTCTTCTTTTGCAAGTAGAAGTTTAAAATTTATCCTAAATGGCTTAGTCCTGTGGTTGTCAAACTGAAACATCCTTGTAACATTACAAGCAGACTTGTCTTCAGAAAATGAATGCCAGCACGCCTGCAAGCATCCCTGCTTTAGTTGACCGCTGTTCTTGAGGGACTGGTCTCAAGTAGGACAGCCATCTGCGTAGGGCAGAACACCTGCCATTTCTTTATCTGTGTCTGCATCTTGTTACACATTCTGCATGAAACGCAGCTTACCTGGAATACTGCTACTTCAGCTTGGGCTGCCTCAGCTTCCTGTGTAAGGTTTTTCACATCTTGGATGATGGAGGGGAGGAAAAGAAAACTTGAAGCAAAAACGTATCTAGATTTCTGAAAACGTTTCAGGAGCCAAAAACACCCTACTTTTGCACACCTTAGCGTGCATAAAAGTCTCCTGACATACTATCTTTTTATTACTCTCCCACAAATGCTGTAGAGCAATAGCAAAAGACCATGAGAAGTGCTTAAGTGACAAGGCCAAGTATTCTGTTCCTTCATCCATAAGAATGTGTTCAACATTTGTACTGTTTTATACGGATGAAAACAGATCGCACTTATGCTTGCAGTAAAGTCTCTTCTCCTCCTGTACTGGGAGTGCGCAGGTGTGTCTCTGCAAGCTGGAAGAAACTCCTGTCACACTACTAGACACTTCAGATGTCTCAGCATTAAAACCTCAAAGAAACGCACATACTTCAAATGGGTGATGCTGACCTGTGAGGAGACTGCCACTAACGAACTGTTGCTGTATGTGCTATTCCAGTGAAAGTCAGCTTGGAAGTTGTCTGTTCAACCTTTTCTTCAGGTAAGTCTTAAAACAATTATTGCTAATGTAATCAAATATACCGTGGTTCAACTTCAAGAGATGCACAACTATCACACTTATGAAACCACATGATCAGTAACCAAATTCTGATCTAAAAAAGGCACATAAAACTTGAAACTGGTGTCAGCTTTCAGCACACCCAAAAGTTTATACCAGCAGCTGTCTCCGCTACCTTGCTGTCCTGGTTTCGGCAGGGACAGAGGTAATTTTCTTCCTAGTAGCTGGTACAGTGCTGTGTTTTGGATTTAGGATGAGAACAATGTTGATAACACACCGATGTTTTAGTTGTTGCTAGGTAGTGCTTACACTAGTCAAGGACTCTTCAGCTTCCCATGCTCTACCCACTGAGAAGGCTGGAGGTGCACAAGAAGCTGGGAGGGGGCACAGCCA